CTGTGTATTTGTATTCTCTTAGAAGTGACTTAGGTGTTTATTCACATTCACTTTAATTTCATTGGTCACTCTTATAATCATTCTTTTTTAATGTTTTAAGATTTCATCCACTTCACTATCCTAAGAGTCAATTATTGTGGAACTGTTGAACTTTAGAGCAATCTTGTTGCCTTGTTTGTTCATATTTCTTATGTTTCTGCATTGGGATTTACACATCTAAGACCAAGTCATTGGTTGGAGATTTTATTCACCTGTAGTCTTTCAATTGAAGCAGTCTCGATGTTCAGGCCAGACTGTGTAGTGGCAGGATTGAAGTATAGTTTCTCACCAGTGGACTTGAGCTCAGTAACCAAACATTTGCCCATGTGCTCAGGGCACTGGCCCCAATACCCAGCATCAGAGAGAAAACTAGCTGTAGTCTCTTGTAGTTCCTAGTAAACAGTTTATTGCTGTATGTGGGCTGCGGGCACCCTAGTTAGGGTCCGTTGTCTGCTTTTAGGCTGTTTTTATTTTAGCAGCTTCTCTACTTCATGTACTGAGAGTTACTGCTGATCTCAAGGAACTTAGCGGCCTAGTGGCCAGGCAGATTCCTACTTGCTCCACAGGCCCCTCAGTTTGTCCTAGCCTAGAAGTGTCTGCTCAATGTATCAGAGAGTGGGGAAGAACTGGGTTCCACAATACAGTAGGGGAATTGAGAAAAGAACTCTGCCTGCTGGTCTCAGCATTTACAGACCCCACCCACCAGTTAACTATACAGTGAGGGGGAGGAGGCTAGAGAAATTACATGGTGGGTAGGTCTGTACTCAGAGCTCTCAATCCTACCCATTAACAACCCCCACATATCTAGAAGGTAGAGACTGAGCACACTGCCAGACTTGGAGCTCTTTTTCTTCAGTGATCCTCAGGTGATGGGCTTGCTTTCATCAAAGAGGGCAGGACCATCCACAACCATGCCTGTCACTACCTGAGCTCCTTGCTGCTTAAATTTCTCAATGGAACCATGTCAGACATTCTCCTTTTCCATGACACCTCTCATGGCTATCTCCTGACCAGACACCATGCCACAGTGTCTCCAGGCTCCCTGACCTGCTATTGTTCCTTGTTTTCAGGACCCCACAGTGGCTCTGTCTTAAACATAGGCCTCCACATAGCCAGATGATGTCTGGCTCATAGCAGTATGATATATGGGGATGACAGAATGTTTTCCTTCTCCAATGCTGGCCTGACATGCAGTACTAGTCAATGCCACACCAAATCCCCACACTGGTTTTAAGGCTTGTGGGAAGTGTGAGCTTTGCCTCTGGCTAGGTCTCCCAGTCTGCCACCAGGGACATCTGGCTTACCTTAGTGGTGTGTTTCTGCCTTTTCTTCTTCCTTAGGAGCTGATGTTAGAACTATAAATTGTTACCTAGTTTTGTCTGTCACCTGTGTGTTTCTATGTGCTTTGCAACTATCCTGTCCATCTGTCATGATTCCTAATGCTCTTCCTCTCTCTCTCTCTGTTCATAAATAGCCTCTCCTTAGTAATCTGACTCTTCACATTCAAGGAATGAAACAGAGGAAGTTTTTAATTCATCATCTTCCAGAATTCTTTTAAAGCTCACTTTGACCATTTGTAAACACCAACTGCATATTAATGCATGAAAGAAACATCAACAAATTTTGAAGAGTTATCCTATAAGCTAAATTTTCTGACAACAATATAATTAACTTTTCTGTGCATCAGTGAACATAAAAAGAAAATATGGGAACCCTTCCCAAATTAGCCTATCTATTTAATAGAACTTCAATAAAAACTGTAATAGGTGTTTTCTTTTGTTGTGATTTAAGCTAAGTCTAAAATAGATAATAAAAGATAAAAAGGGGCATGTAATAACATGCTTTTGAAGGAGAAGAACTAGGCAGAATGGTCAAATATTAAGAGTTACTGTATATAATAAGCAACATACTATACTATTTGCAGAGGCATAAACAGACCCATGAAACAGAGAGCCACACACATATGAAATGATATGTGAGAGTTGGTTTGCAGATCAATTAGGAAAGAAGGGGTTTTTCAATAAATGATGAGAGAATTGGTTATTCATTTAAAATAAAGGAAGAATGAAATGGATCCTCACCTTATATAAGGCCAGAAAACCAATTATAGACCAATCAAACTTAAACACTTTTAGAACCACATTTAAAAAAAGAATATTTTGTTGGGTACAGTGGCTCAAACCTGTAATACTAGTCACTTGGGAGGTGGAGATTGGGTAGAGATTGCAGTTCAAGGCCAGGCCAAGCAAAAAGTTTGTGAGAGCTCATATCAATCAATGGTGGCATGTGCCTGTTATACCAGCTATGCAGGGTTGGAGGCTCATGATCCGGGCAGGCCTGGGCACAAAGTGAGACCTATCTCAAAAAGAGCTAACAAAAAGGGCTGGTGAAGTGGCTGAGGTGATAGAGTCCCTGCCTACCAAGCAAAAGGCCTTGAATTCAATCCCCAGTTAGATTATCTTTATATTCTTAGCAATGGAAAGACTCTTAAAAAGATATGAGGGAAATCTGATTGCATGAAAATAAGAACTCTTGTCATTTCATCATAGGGTAAAAAAAGACAAGAAACAAATTTGGGAGAGTAATTTTTTTATAACATATTACTTACTAAAGGAATAATAACCAAAAGAACCATCATACATGTCTATGAAAAAGCCAGCCCAATGGAAAAAATGGTCAAAAGATATGAACAGAGGTTTCACAGAGAAACACAAATGCTAATAAATAATAAACATATGTTCAACTGGCTATAGGGGGGGACCCCGGTTTATAGTATTTGGGGATATTAAAAACCCCATCTTGGCTGACTTCAAACTACCAATATAATGCCACTGAACACAGAGTTAAGAAGAGACACATGTAATCAGTTCTCATAAACCAGTGTCAGATGATCCTAGCACATCACTGTCTCAAAGTCATTAGTAGCCAGGGAAATTCAAATTAAAGTAGAATGACATAATACTTAATACACCTACCCAATGATAAAAATTAAAAGTAGCAAGAAAGCAAAGTTGTTAACAAGAAATGGCACATTTCACTCATTATTGGTGAGGGTCCAAATTGTTTTAAACAATTTCAAACATGACTAGGTATTTATTTCCTTATAAAGTTCAACAAACAATTATCATTCAGCCTAGCAATTTTACTTCTCTCAGGTAACTTACCCATGTGGAGCAGGATATAAGTAGGAAATTGTTTTTAGCAACATCACTCATAATAGAAATTCTGAAATAACTGGACTGCCCATTAAATGCAGAATGGATAACTGCACTGTAGGATAGCCATGCAATGGCATACAAAGAAAGATTGAAAAGACATGAGCTACCTAAAAATTTCAAATGCATGAATTGAAAAACCAGAATATTGACTCAAGAAAGTCTGAGTGATACTTTCTGTAACATTGATAAGCAAGTAAAACCAAAGAATATATTGTTAAGGCATATGTACAGAAGTAGTAAAACTGCAAAGAATATGATGAACACTTAATTCAGGACAGTTGTTACCTCTGAGAGCAAGGGAAGTGAATGCAAGTAGAGAGATACTATGTGGACTCAATGGTACTAGTAATGTTTTATTTATTAAACTGTAGGTAAATAAAAAATAAATCCTAACACAAATAAGTAAATAGATAGATACAATAAGGGAAGTTAAAATGAAAAATAGAAGCATTGTAAGTAAAATAATCTGTACCTTATAGTTAGTATTTGCATCCTCATTCTGTAACATCTTGTCTCTTTAAGCAATTTCAATTTTATTAGAAAAGTTTTTTTCTCTTTCTTCACTGGAATTGATATTAGAAAATGTTGAATGTTGAGATGCTTGTCTAATATCATCTAATATTTCTTCTTTAAAAATATTTTTAAAAAAGATTGTTTTCAGAGACAGGTTACTGGCTTACTTTAGGCTTTAATAAGAGTGATGGAATGAGCTTAGCAATAGAATGTGACCTAGCATGCATGAGTTCCTGGGTTTAATCCCCAGTACTACACAAAAACAAAAACAAAAAATCAAAAATTAAGATATTAAATACATGTTAATTTCCCTCTAAAAGTAACTATAGTAATTGCAAAAAATGACTGCAAAGGAAATTTCAGATATTTCTAAATTTTGCTTTTGTAAAACTAGCTTCATTTTCATTTGGTATATTTAGAGAATTTAACCCTTTTATGCTTAACTATTCATAAAATGTTCAATTTGCATGATGTCCACAAATACCCATGTTTATAACTGAATACTGTATTAACTTTTAAAATGTCTATTTCAACTTACTCAAGTTTCTCTCTTACTTCAGTAAGCAAAAATGTGCATGTCTACAACAGTGTTTGAAGACTATTCAATGAATATAGTGTACAATGTAAAAAAAATTCATATAATAAAAAATTTACTTGAAGAACAGTTTATATTGCCTCCTAAAAACCATTCAGATTTTTGCTATTGGAATTGCAAGATCTTCTAGTAGAGTCTAATTTAGGAAATCTTACATTAAAAGTAAAAAAAAAATTCAAACTTAGTTTCTTCACGCTGATTATCCTGGGCCTTGTGCAAAACTTCTTCAATTTTCAAACTTCTTTCGGTGCTCTAATCAAAGAGCAAAACAGATTCCTTGAATTCCCTCTTTTCCTTTCCCCACACAACAAATTAGAAAGTTCAGAAACAGAAAAAGAAAACCAATGTAATCAATTAAATGCTGAATAGAACCATGACTGAATGCCTGAACAGAACAACACTGACCAATGACCCAAATAAATTCAGGGCACATGCTCTTCAATCCCAAAGCTATGTGCATAAAGGCAGGCACACAACCTTCACATCACCCTCCTCACAACACATCACCCTATCATTGAATAATAGAAGACAAACACTGACCTAGTTTAGAAGTGCAGATGAAAGAAAATGAAAACAGGATACATGACAGCAGCAAGGAAACCATGGTAACTAGGAGAGAGGACTGCTTTGCTTACTTTATTTTGGTCAGAATAATCAGCAAGCTGAGCCTTTAGCTCTGCAATCTCAGCCTCCAGCAGACAGATCACTTCTTCATAGTCCATTTCCATTCCATGTGCCTGCCTCTGTGCAGCCTCAGCAAGATGAATCCGACTTCGCAGAGCTCTTGTTTCTTCAACTACAGCTTTGGCTTCCTAAAGAGTTCAAAGTTATTGTCAATGAAAAAAGAAAAAAAAAACAGATAAAAATAGACCCATGGTCTAACCAAAATACTTTCTCAGTTATAATTCTAAAACTTAATACATGTATGTTGCTCCATTTAAAAATTAATATACATTATATTCTATTATGTGGACTAGCTGCCTGGTTTTACTCTTTCCTTTGTTGGTTTCACAGAAATTTTTCAGTATGGCTTCTAACTTCACATATCTAGCATAACATCTGAAAAAATAAAGGAAGCTAAAGAGAATTGAAAATGGAAAATGGAAGAATAGGAACTGGTCCAAAGATAAAAAAAAAAAATGTGGGCTACAGCAAAATTCAAGTAGGTAATAGAGCTCATGTTCTAAGAAGGCTCTTGTAGCTTCATCAGATGCTGTTGAGAGATGAAAAGCTTAGACCAAGCCCCAGGGGCAAAAAGCTTTTTCCTAGACATCAGTCTGTTATGTCTTGCTTTTGGCTTAAGCCAAAAGGTGGAATTCATCTGCAGGATGCAATGTTCATAAGAGAGTTATTAAATACATGCTGTATCTCAGGTGCTTCACTGATCTTTACTCATTTAATGTTTAGAACAGCACTGAGAGAAGGGCAAATCATTTCATACATGAAGGAGCTAACAGACTCAGAGAAGTTACATAGCCTATTTAATGACATGTAATGTCAGAATTTGAACCCACATCTGTTTGACTCCAACACTGATGCTCTTCTTTCACCATTTTACTCTGCCTTTAAATGACAAAATAAAATGAAACAAAAATCCCTCAGACACTAACTGTACTCTCCACTTCAGGATGAGTTGAGGGTGGGAAAAAACCACTTGCTTTCTCAAAATGTGTCTTGGTGCTGGGTCAAAGACAGTCCCTGAGGACACCAATACAATTTAACATGGTGGGTATTACACTGTAAACCATGTCTTTTTCTTTACTTGATGAAGGCTTTTCTCTTCTCTGCAATGGAAGTTTCTGCTCCACTTGCCATGGCTGATATTAAACTAAGGCTTTCAAAATGTTCTTGGAGCTGTGATAGGGCATTTGCTTTTGTTGGAGACTAAATACATTTGAAATGTTGAGAGTTAGGAATGTAAACATATTCTTAAGGGTCAGTTTTTCACTCATATATTCAATAATTATTTATTAAATACTTAATATGTGTCAGTTTCAGGAATAGGCAGTGAACAGTATAGACAGAAAATTCTCCCTCTGTCCCCCTCAAAGTCCACATTCTAATTTGGAGAGACAGACAGTAGGGATTATCAGTGAAAATTTCATAGAGAAAGCATCTTCAGAGACCCACTGAAGGGATGGAGCCATGATTTCTCAAGGAGCATTTCTAAGCAAAGGAAACTGCTTGTACAAAGTTCATGAGATGGGATTGTGCTTTTTCATTAGAGAACAGCAAGGAGGCCAGTGGAGCAGAGGTAGTGAGCAGTAGGGGAAAGGAAGAGGGTGAGTAGTAGGATTTGAGGACAGAGTGGTAACAAGAGTGAGTATGAAGGTGGGTTAAGAGTGGAGTGGTTTACATGTTATTCTAAAGCCTTCCATTTCATACTGGGTGAGACGGGAAGTGACCGGAGAGTTTTGAGCTCAGAAGTGACAGAAGCTGACTTAAGTTTTAAAAGGATTACTCTCACTGCTTTGTTGCCAGTAGACTTAGCAGAGGGCAAGAGTGGAAGTAGAAAGAAGAGGAAGGGGACAGGCAAAACTAATTGTAGCTTGGGAAAGGGTGACAGTGGTAGAGATGGTAGAAAACAGATTCCAAATACAGTGTGGAAGTAGAGATCCCAGTTTAGGGCATCAATAACATTTGTTTAGCAGTGACTGCATCTAGACAATCATGTTATGTGATAAAAATACAAAGGGGCAAATGATGCTGCCCTTTCTCTGGCTCAGCTTAGAACATCAGATATAACTTAGATAAATGAAGGAAGGAAGGTATGTTAGACAAGTAAAACAAAAAGTAGAAACCACATAGGAACAAAAGAAGAAAGCCAGGAAGGAATGTGGCACATTTGAGAAATAGTGCTGTATAGATTTTGATTAGAATAGAGGCTGCCATAGGGAAATAACTAGAATTAGTACAAATACTAATACTATCAAAGGCTGGGGAGGGCCATGTGCTGGCAGAAACGGCAAGAAAGGCAATGGAGCTTGAATCCAGGGAAGTCTCGAGAATAGGAAAAGGAAGGGGGGGCAGGCAGTCATGTTGACACGTACCTGTAGTTCTAGCTACTCAGGGAGGTGGAAGTATAAGAGGATCACAGCCCCAGCAAAGTTAGCAAAAGACCCTATCTGAAAAAGAATCTAAAAGCAAAAGGATTGCTGGGGGTGTGTGGCTCAAGAGGTAGGGCACTTGACCCTGGGTTCAGTCCCTGAATCCCCAGTATTATGTAAAAATTGTTTAAGAGGTAAACCTAACAGCAAGGTGCAGAATGGACAGATGTGACCAGCCTTCTGTACCCTTGACTTCAAAGAACTTATCTCTTTGTATGTAAAAGTAATTGTCTTATAGTAGAAAGGCACTTGGCAAAGAAATGGACATCTTCCTTGCCCACCACATCTGTCAGTTCAGTGCAGGTGACCTAGTAAAGTGACCAGCAAAGCACCTTCACACTAGGGGGTTGCTATACATACAGGAGAAAATGGATTACTGTGACAGCCCTGTTCTAAGTGTCTTATGTATTGACTCAGCTAGTCTGTTCACAGTGATATGAGGTATATCCATTATAATCCTCATTTTATAGACAGAAGACTAAAGCACAGAAAGGTTAAGTAACTTGCTCAGAATCACAAACCTAGTAAGTTGCAGAACTGAGATTTGAATCCATGCAGTCCCGTTATAAAGTTCATATTCTTGGTTACTGTTGCATACTACCTCATTGACTATAGAAAAAAAATTAAAAACATCACTCTTAGGTGATAATAACATCAGTGCCAGCCTGCCTTAGCTTAGGATGTGGCCATTACAGTAGATTCAGACACATTCAAGGTCACTACACTGCTCCCCATTTCCTATTCAATCAAGCTGAAAAAAAAAAAGGCCTCTGAAGTGAAAGAGGACGGGCAGAAAATTCACCATAGCCGCAATGAAGAATAACTAATTTGATGATTTGTCTCCTTCACACTCACTTCATGTAGCTTTTATTCCTCTATAAAAACAGCACTTTTGTTTTTGTTCAAAGAATGCTAGTTAATTAAATGAAGAATCTGGATGGAATTTCTACAGCCATTATAGTGCACTGACAGTAATACAGTGTGAAATGCAGTTGGGTGGTAAAAGATGCAGAGGTTTTGATGCTGAATAAATTCATGCTATTTCTTTTGTAAATGTATAACTGTCAGGCTGGTGAATGTGACCCCTTAGCAAAGTTCTAGCCCAATTCCCATTGAATGGCTGTTTAAAAGATTAGTGCATTGAAATGACGACTTTTTAGAGGAAGCAGTAAAGAAAAGATAACAGCAGTGTGCCAGATTTAGCAGTAGAGGATCACATCAATCCACTTTCTCTTTTCCTCCCAGGCTGTCTTCTAATAAATAACTGCACAGCCTCCTATGTCAGTAATATTTGAGCCAGAATTCTCCCAGCACCTCACCATGAGCCTGAAATCCCAATCAGGACAAATACCATTGTCAATTTGCTGACTTATTTTGTATGAGGCAGAGTTAAATTCAGGTTAGAAAGTTAGATCTTAAAAGAAAAATCTATGGTTTAATAGTAAATCAGAAAAATCAACACAATCCACGTTTTTAAATGTTAGCTAGTATGAGCAAACTTAGCAGAAGGGAATCCTGAATTATGAAGTGAAATATGGCTTTTTTTTTTTTTGGCAACACTGAGGAAATGCCTTTAGCTCACGCCAACCCTCTGTAAAATGAGGGTTTTCTTCATCACAATTTTACAATGAATCTTTAGAAAAGATAAGACCAAATTCTTTAAAAATGTAATTCAAGCTAATGAAAATCTTTGTAGGCTACGAATACTTTGGTTAGTTATGGTATTGTGTTGGGACAAAGGGCAGAATAAACTCAGACAATATGCTGTGTGTTTCTGAACATAGAGCACTTTTTCCTCACAAGGCAACAAAATCTAGAATAAAAACAAAACAAAACAAAAACATGAGCTAGGGGTGTAATACAACATAGAGTGCTTATCTAGAATAAAATGGCATGGGTTTTGAATGGGACTTAGATCTAGGTCAGCAAATTAGATCCGTGATTTTTCTTTTCATTTTCTGGCTGCATAATTCTCTGAGTCTCTGAGTGTGTTCATTTGTATAGTGGGACATAATATCTAGCTTTTGAGATCAAAACAACTCCTACAAGAGGGTTAAAGAAATTATTATAGTCCTTGGTACACTGTTCTCTCTTTTTACTTTTTTGGAAAAATAGACACATCACCTATGGTATCAGAGAGCCTGACTAGATAATTTATTAAGGTTTTCTCTTTTCCTGAGACACTCAATTAGTAATATCAGCTCTTAAACTTCAGAGAAGTTATTTGGAGACATAATTTTCACATGTCATTTTTAACGATAGCAAAAATTATTTAAAACCTTTTCTTCTCTAGTTATGTGTCCTAATGGCTCCCTAAAGTAGCAGAAAGAAGCATGAACTGCATATATTTGAAATTAGGCTACCATATCTGTTCCATGAACCTTGGAAGTTCCGTAATTTTTTAAGCTAATTGGTAAATCTTTCAAATGTCAATGGCTGACAGGAGAAAACAGGGGATTGAAAAGAGATAAATGTTTTTAGTGTAATGTAACTTGTGCTAGGAAGCCCTAAAGAATATGTTTCTTATCAGCTGCCAACATTCACTCATTGAGAAACCTTTCTTGGTCTTGGCCCTACTACTGCTTGTGAAAAAGATTAAGGGCTAGTGAAGGAAGAAGGCTGTTGAGTGAAAAGTTGGATCTAGTATCCTTAACTTGTGTATCTGATATATTTTTAATATACTTCTCAAAGGAAGATCTCCAAGT